TTTTTCAAGTAACTAGTAAAGTAACGCATTACTTTTTAATTTACAAGAGAATATCCGAGTTACCTTTTCAAATATAAGTAACGCAAGTTACTTTTTCCCCCCAATTTATTGATTGATAGCTCTCCTGTCCCCATGTTGAGAGAAATCAGATGTTACTGTAGTTCTAAAATAAATATGAATATGCATTAATATCACTCACAACAACAAAAAACACAGATTCAGTATTCCTCAAAATGAATAAAAATAATGCAACTCAGAATATGATGCAAACCTGTTAGACATTAACCAATGTCTTACCTTCGATGATGCAGTTCAAGCGTACTAATAAGCACAAATTACTCTAGACACACATTTGTGTGTCTTTGTTTATTGCTGAAGTGTGTTCTTCTGCATTCTACTGTACTTTCCCTTCAGCCTGAGGCGCATTCATTTCACGTTTGGTGTGAAAAGGCTTTATATTTGCCAAAAATATAACTTTTTTATTTTAAAAACAAATAAGCAAGCAAGCCCTGCCCAGATTTAAAAAGTAACGCAAAAGTAACACAATGCATTACTTTCCATAAAAAGTAACTAAGTAACGTAATTAGTTACTTTTTTATGGAGTAACGCGATATTGTAATGCATTACTTTTAAAAGTATCTTTCCCCAACACTGATTATAGCTGATTATGAAAACAAACACGTTTCGGGGATTACGGTTATTATTTCAAGGTCACTGTAGCGAAATGCAATGTTACATTCATAAACTGAATTTATGCAATCTAATTTAATAAATTATATTTTTATGCAATCAATCCATTCTAAGGTGGCGAAATGAAGAGTTTTGTTGAAGAAAATGTTTAAAACATAATTTTTAAAAATCTTATCAGAGGGAGAAAATGCTTGTCTACCAAAAACTGTACAGCACACTGTTCAGGGTAGTATAACCTATCCTGACCAAGTACTTTTCATTTCACATTTAAACTATGATGTCTGTTATCTCTGCGCATTATAGCTAGAAAAGAACAGCATGCTAGCAGAAGATCAGCATTTTCGAAAAATGTATGTATATGCATGTTCATTTATACTGGATAAAAAAAATGTTTTATGTCTAAATGTTATTTAGATGCACATGTAACATATTTTTGTAAAATATGTATACGCACACATATTTTACAAAAATATGTATCATAATAAACTGCATTTTGCATCAAAGAGAATAAGTAGATGTACATAATACTCACAATTGCGCATTTGAAAATGTATATGCAACCTTTATTTCCAAGTGTAGTTGAGAAAACATGATTGGTGACATGGGAAAACGTCTGTTAAGTGCTTTATGACTATTATTATTATTTTTTGGTAATGTATGGAAAACCATGTGGAATTAAAGTTGGTTAATATTGACATAAAATCTGCCGTAGTGTTTCACGGGGACATAAAATCCACCAAACTGTAGAAATGACCTTGAACCCATTTCACATACACCACTGTTAAAGCATGTGCATGATAAACACTTTTTGCAATCACAAAACATTAATGTGTAAATCCAATAATTTAAATAAAATAAAAAGGTGGTGATGTGGGCTGGAAACAGAAACGATAGCATGAACGGGTGCAGAATAGGCAATAAAAAGATTCTTCCTAACACAAGCATAATGAAAAACTGTTTATAGCACATGAAAGGTCTATTTACATATACACAAAAATATTTTAGAATTCAGTCACATAATGTATGATTACAATTTAAAGCGTGGTTACTGTAGGAACAATCATCGGCTAATGCAAGATTTAAAAAAATCATTTTAATGAGCTTTCATATTAGTGCACAAGTTCCACCTGATTAGACGCGAAAGGTAAGACTCCGCTGACATAATACGCAATGCCGAGTGAGAGCAGAGCAATGACGAGGAGCAGCAAGAGCACTCGCCAGAAGCCAAGATCTTCCACAAACTCCTGCCATGTAGTGCGGAAGCTGGACAACACGCCATCGCTGTGATGCAGGTGTGGGTTGAGAAGAGAGTGGCTCTCCATGGCACTGCACGAGATACAGCAGCCCATAATGAGTGAGAACACTTATGAAGAACGATTCAGACGTTCGAAAGTTGGGATTATAAAAACAGGTAATGGCAATCATCTCACCTTTCATTCTCAGCCATGTGCATCTTCTCCAGACTGGTATGGGAGCTGCGGTTGAAGCACTTCACCTCCTGTTCCTCCAGCCCCTCCAGCAGATGGAGCGCGTCCTTATTCACACCGCGTCTCTTGGCCAGCACTAGCGGAGTGGCTCCGTTGTGATTACTGTTCAGATCAAAAAGCATGGACATAAAGCGGTCAGACTTTTTGTGGCAACTTCATGAATCCTCATCGAGCGAGACACCACATTTCATGGAACTGGCCCTGTAATATGTGAACTGTTAGTCAGGGGTTTTCAAACTGGGGTCCGGGGCCCTCAGGAGACCACAAGGAGGAGCTAAGGGGTCAGCAGAAAAAAAGAGAGTGAAGTGGGAAAATAATTAATAGAATAATAAAAGTTCATCATTATCAGAATGTAATATTATGCTTAAAGACCGGCCAGAAATCCTGAGATCAACTGAACAGAAAGTAGTTCCCAGATAACACTGTACACATTTATTCTTTTTCACATTTACACTACTGTTCACATTTTTTTTTTATGTTAAAAAACGCTTGTTCACCGAGACTGCATTTGATCAAAAATATAGTAAATATTTTAAAATATATTACAATTCAAAATAACTGTTTTCTACATGAATATACTGTAAAATATAATTTATTCCTGTGATGCGCAGCTGTATTTTCAGCATCATTGCTCCAGTCATCAGTGTCACATGATCTTCAGAAATCAGTATAATATGCTAATTTGCTGCTCGAGAAACATCTCCGATTATTATCAATGTTGAAAACAGTTGTGTTCAAAAGAACAGCATTTATATGAAATCTTTTGTAAGATTATAAATGCCTTATAGTCCCTTTTGACCAATTTGATGTGTTGCTGAATACAAGTATTAATTTCTTTAAAAAACGGTAGTGTACTGTATGTTTTTAAAATATTTATCTACCTTTATATTATATTATTTTATGTGATCATTATATTTGGAGGTCTGTGCCTTCGAAAAGTTTGAAAACTCCTGCAATACTTCCATCTGTTATTTCCTAGTTTTGATTTTTCTAAATAAAATATATGCAAGTGTCATGACATTTTTGACTGCTAAGGTACCTTGGAATAGCATGTGAATGCCAGTATAGGACTACGGTAATTCAGTATCATTATATACAGTCACTGTACCACGGTAACACTGACCAGATGTCGATCTTAAGGCCGTTGGACACCAGGAACTGGATGGTGTCTACATGGCCACACATGTGCAGTGCCGTGTTGCCCTGTGAGTCAGTGGCCAACAGATCGGCACCAAACTTATGCAGCAAAGAGCAGATCTCCACGTTTCCCCGAGCGGCAGCCAGATGCAATCCAGTCCGTCCGCGGCAGTCCCTGGTGTTTGGGTCGAACCCGGACTCCAGGAGCTGCTTAGTGTGAGCGAGATCCCCGTCGATACAGGCCTGCAGCAGTGGCACGGTGGTCTGCAGGGAGTCGTTGATGAAGACGTAGGACATGTTGCACCTGATATCTGCGATCTGGAGATAAAAATCACATTTGGAACATATTTGGAACAGCTGACAACATGAAACATCACAATGCTATAATTAAAAACGACTTTGATGTGACTTTTCTCATTTCTTTATAACCATCATGCAGTCATATTAATTTTTTTGTTTTTACAAATTAATTTCTCACACCACACAGCAATTAATGAACTGTAAACAGTTGCTTAAAAAGGCTAAAAACACAGTACACCTAAAATCTCTATGTTAGCATGTATTTATGATGGATGCTTCATGCACCAAACATTTAATAGGTTAATCCTTCAAAAACTGTAAACATTGATTAAATAAAGGTTATTAATTATGCTGAAAATATCATTTAGATTACATGACAACTAAACTTCACGAATGAGCTAGCGGACTAGCTTGGTCAAGCTAGTATGTTATTCAACAAAGCAATAATAACTTCCTTTATTATACTAACTTATAGAAGGCACATCAATACCTCGGAGTGATATCTTGAACGTATCTTATCAAATCCGCTGCTTTCCCAGCCTCTGTTGTAGGAAAATAGAAACTAAATGACGTAAAAAGATGGAGGCTCAATAGACTACAAGCCCCAGTGCATGTTATGATTACAAATATTTGACTTCCGCGTCTTAGCCCCACAATCTGGTCAGTGTAGTTTTTCTGGCGCGGTTGACTATTAGAACGACTCAGACATGGACTGCGTTACCCACAATGCACCGCGTTGTATTTGTATCCGATGACGGAGGAGGATGGAGGCAGGTAGGAAATTTATGGTTACAAATAAGAAAAATAGCAGCGATTTATCGATTCTTTCGGCTGACAACGTTCACGCGACGTTTTAAGTTAGTGAAGCGTCGACAAAAGTCTAGTGAGATCTGCTAGGGGTTCCCAAAGAGGACATTTCGTAACTGAGTTTCAAGTTTTCTCATTGTTCTTCAGTGGCCTGTGCGTCTCTCACTTGCAAATACAGACAAATAGAGTTCGTCTGCTCCACGAGTCGTTGTTGTTGTGGTTCAGATGACCAAAGTTATTACTCTGTGTGTTGGCACAGGCACTAACAAAAAAATTACCATGGTAAAACCAGGTTTGAGAATTTTACCATGCTATGTACCATGGTGCTCAAGTTCCTTAGAGTACCCAGTAAATGCATGGTGTCTGATTATGTCATTTTATTATATGCAAGTATATGGTACATTAGCATCTGTGACCATCCCAGTGTTGGGATGTCAGAAGATGTAGTACCTCTGCTTAACTCCCTAATTGTGAAGTGCTGCTACGTGTTGTTGTTCCATCAGAAATGTACTGTGATTGTGTCACAGCACTAACATGCCACCAATTATTCCAGTTCTAGCCAAGTATGAGAATCAAATCAACGTGTTCTCCGAGTTCCTAGAAGACCTGCCGGATGTAGACGAGCCAGTATGGATCTTGGGAGCATGTTATGATCTTAAAACAAGTAAGACGGGGCATAATGTAGTGGAATTAATTAACTATATAAACACACTCGCTCTTATTAAATTGGATTTTGCGTATCGGTCACCCTGCCTTAACCACGAATTAAGATATTAAATCTGGGTTTCTCTTGTCCTTGTTACAGTGTAATTATATTAAAAGTACTGTGTAATATTAATTAACAAAATATAGTTACCATAGGGTAACTATGCATCATTTACTGTTACATTACTCTGGTGCACTGATGGTCAGAGTTTTAATGTTTTTCAAAGAAGTTTCTTCTGCTCACCAAGGCTCCATTTATTTGATCAGAAAAATACAGTAATATTAGGAAATATTTTTACAATTTAAAACAATCATGTGAATATATTTTAAAACATAATTTATTCCTGTGACGCAAAGCTGAATTTTCAGCATCGTTACTCCAGTCTTCAGTGTCACATGTTCCTTCACATGAAATCATTCTACTATGCTGATTTGCCGCTCAAGAAACATTTCTGATTGTTAGCAACGATCATTTTCCAGAGAAACCAGAGCTGCTCTCGGATGTGCGGTCACGACTGTGGTTCACGTATAGGAAAAAGTTTTCTCCCATAGGTAAGTGGCAAGTGAACTAGTCTAGCTAAATGGAGCTGACTTCAGTCTTGATTAGAGGATGCTTAGTGTGCTGAGGAGGGTGTGTTTCTGTGGTTTGCAGGAGGAACAGGCCCTTCATCAGACGCGGGATGGGGCTGCATGCTCCGCTGTGGACAGATGATCCTCGCACAGGCTTTGGTCAGCAGGCACCTCGGTCGGGGTAAGCAAACGTGGAAGCTTCTTACCGATAACGGATGTGTGGAATAGCTGCGACTGTACTACTCCACTGTATTCGCAGTATTTCTGTATGAAGGGTGACCAGTGTGATTGTTGATATAGAAATGAAACTTACAGTGTTTGTTGCCTTCCATTGTTAATTGTGCTTGTTTCTGTTTCGTGTCCTCAATCTGGCAACCCGTGTGAGTGTCGAGTCTGAGGAGGAGGGGCGGGAGAAACAACTCTCCAATATTCTCTCCAGTATTTCAACCTCTAGTATTGCATACTGCACCTCTGAAGTTCTCTGCTTCACTGTGTGTTCTAGATTGGAGATGGGATGCAGAGAAACGTCAGCCCAAAGAGTATCATCGCATCTTGCACTGCTTTTTAGACAAGAAGGATAGCTGCTACTCTATTCACCAGATGGGTAAGGCATAAAATGCGTGTGTGTGGCTGTGTTGCTGTCATTCAAGACCATTATTATTGGCCCAGCCCTCTCAATGACCATTGCACATTTTGTTTAAAACCATTAGTTCACAGCAAGTGCACATCATTGCATTGTCTATCTGAAAGTCTCTGTGTGTGAGTCCTGTACATCGCAGAGGTACTGAAGTCACGAGTATTGTGTGTCCTGTTTGTGTAGCTCAGATGGGCGTTGGAGAGGGCAAGTCTGTTGGAGAATGGTATGGACCGAACACAGTGGCTCAAGTACTCAAGCAAGTGTAATTTTTCTTTTCCAAAGACTGATATCTTAAAAATAATATTTTGTTGTTGGACACATTTGTCTTTGTTTAAATTTGCAGAAAATGTGCTCACCATTCCAAGATGTAGATGAGTTTGTTTCTTCATCACATTTGGAGAAATGTAGCATTCCATCACTTGCTCACCAGTGGATCCTATAAGCAGTGAATGGGTGCCGTCAGAATGAGAGTCCAAACAGCTGATAAAAACATCACAAGTAATCCACACTACTCCAGTCCATCAGTTAACGTCTTGTGAAGCCAAAAGCTATGTTTTTAACTTCAAACTGCTGGATTCTGACGGCACCCATTCATTGCAGAGGATTAATTGGTGAGCAAGTGATGGAATGCTGCATTTCACCAAATCTGTTCCCACAAAGAAAGAAAACTCATATGCATCTTGGATGACTTGAGGGTGAAGACATTTTATTAAATTTATTTTTAGCAAACTTTCATTTTTGGGTGAAGTAGTAATGAAGTACTGTATCATAATTATTATATATAATATGTGCGCTTTACAAGGTCTTTTAAAGAATGCCACACTGCTGTAAATGAAAGCACCATTTAAATCTCGTAGTTTGAACACAACAGTATGTGTGAACTAACAGCAAATTTCCGTCTGCTTGCAGGAAACTTGCCCTGTTTGATGATTGGAATACACTGGCTGTGTATGTGTCAATGGACAACACAGTTGTTATTGAAGACATCAGTAAGTGTCTTTTTCTGATTAGTCACATCACATTTATTTATATAGCGCTTTATACAGTACTGATTCTTTCAAAGCAGCTTCACACAGTAATAAACAGGAAAATAAGTGTGTTAATATTCATCAGTTGTAAAAACTTCAGTTGAGCTATATATAGGGTTTCTGCAGCTTTTATGAGTTAACGTCTTGTGAAGCCAAAAGCTATGTTTTTAACTTCAAACTGCTGGATTCTGACGGCACCCATTCATTGCAGAGGATTAATTGGTGAGCAAGTGATGGAATGCTGCATTTCACCAAATCTGTTCCCACAAAGAAAGAAAACTCATATGCATCTTGGATGACTTGAGGGTGAAGACCTTTTTTTTTTTTTTTTTTTTTTGCAAACTTTCATTTTTGGGTGAAGTAGTAATGAAGTACTGTATCATAATTATTATATATAATATGTGCGCTTTACAAGGTCTTTTAAAGAATGCCACACTGCTGTAAATGAAAGCACCATTTAAATCTCGTAGTTTGAACACAACAGTATGTGTGAACTAACAGCAAATTTCCGTCTGCTTGCAGGAAACTTGCCCTGTTTGATGATTGGAATACACTGGCTGTGTATGTGTCAATGGACAACACAGTTGTTATTGAAGACATCAGTAAGTGTCTTTTTCTGATTAGTCACATCACATTTATTTATATAGCGCTTTATACAGTACTGATTCTTTCAAAGCAGCTTCACACAGTAATAAACAGGAAAATAAGTGTGTTAATATTCATCAGTTGTAAAAACTTCAGTTGAGCTATATATAGGGTTTCTGCAGCTTTTATGATGGTAAATGTAAGACCTTTTTAAGATCAAGTAAATTTAAAGGAATAAAATGAGTGGAACACAATACATCAATATGGTCTCTAAATTTAAATGTCTTGTATTAGTAACTCTTCAAAGTATGAAAATACACCTTTCGACAGATTTTTTTTTCTTAAAAAGAAGAAGCTTATGGCTTGAATAGCTCTACTTCAAATGACTAGAATATGGAAGTAACTTTTACCAAACCTCTGATCACACTGCAAAGAAAAGTTATTTCCTTCCTTGTTTTTGTCTGGTTTTCAAGTGCAAATGTCTAAAGATTCTTAAATCAAGATACATTTACTTGAGAAGCAAAATGACTTAAGAGATAGTCTTGTTTTCTGAGAAATTGATTAAAATTAAACTTAATTCAAAGGGAAAACAAGTTTTCATTCTGCACTGACAGATATTAGTTTTAAGTGCATTGCAACATTTAATGCCATGAAAAGACCCTTTTAAGCCTTAATTTGTGGAAGAGTGAATTAAAACCATAAAGCAGCTCTACGATAGTGTCATTATTCATCTCAAGTCAGTTCAATGTTGATTCACTTCAGTTCAATAACGTATCAAGAGTTAATGTATCAAGAGTTCAAACAGTGTCACATTCAGCACAATTCAATCCAGCTTTTGTTCTCGCCCGATAGTGTCAGTGCACCTAAATCAATAATATTACTGAACATTAAGTGTCTTTTAAACCCCAACTACTTATGGCTTGAATAGCTCTACTTCAAATGACTAGAATATGGAAGGAAATTTTACCAAACCTCTGATCACACTGCAAAGAAAAGTTATTTCCTTCCTTGTTTTTGTCTGGTTTTCAAGTGCAAATGTCTAAAGATTCTTAAATCAAGATACATTTACTTGAGAAGCAAAATGACTTAAGAGATAGTCTTGTTTTCTGAGAAATTGATTAAAATTAAACTTAATTCAAAGGGAAAACAAGTTTTCATTCTGCACTGACAGATATTAGTTTTAAGTGCATTGCAACATTTAATGCCATGAAAAGACCCTTTTAAGCCTTAATTTGTGGAAGAGTGAATTAAAACCATAAAGCAGCTCTACGATAGTGTCATTATTCATCTCAAGTCAGTTCAATGTTGATTCACTTCAGTTCAATAACGTATCAAGAGTTAATGTATCAAGAGTTCAAACAGTGTCACATTCAGCACAATTCAATCCAGCTTTTGTTCTCGCCCGATAGTGTCAGTGCACCTAAATCAATAATATTACTGAACATTAAGTGTCTTTTAAACCCCAACTAAGCAAGCCAAATAGGAAGGAACCTAGAAATGGAGGAAAAACCTTGGGAGAAATTTCCCCAAGTTCTCCTCCGGCCTGACTTCATTAGAGCCGAAGGAAGTTTAAATAGGATGAATAATCTTCTTATTTCTCTCTTCCAACCGTCTTGATGTTCTCACCTCTATCCTCTGGACCAGAGAAACAGTGTAAGCAGCCAGGCCGGGAAAGCAGGTCCAGAGCTGGTCCCTGTGGCCAAGGAGAAGTGCCAGCGTCAGGCCAGAGCTGTTCAGAGGCTCAGGGAAAGACACTTAACCTTCAGTCCCAAAGGCCCCTGGACTGGAGGCCCCTGCTGCTGGTCATTCCTCTTCGAATGGGCATTAACAGCATCAACCCCGTCTACATTCAGGCCTTCAAAGTACGACACTTTTCTTTGTCTGAAGAGTCTATTATATTCAGAGCTGGGTAGTAACTAACTGATTACAGTATAAAAAAAAGTACTTACATTTTAAAATACTCGTAGTCAGACTACAGTCATTTTTGTTTAAAATTATTTACATGATTACATATTATTCACACAATAGCAATATTGAATCTTCCTAAAACGTCTTCCCAAAATTTTGTCATCTGAAACTCTTTCATTTACTAGATTTAAAAATAACTATTTTATTAATCAAGCAACACATTTGCATGTTCACGGTTCTCTGACGTTGATAAATGGTCAAACGACATGCAGGTAAACATAAAATATGACATCTTTTAGTGTTTTATTTGGATTGATTTTATTTAAAAAAAAAAAGGATTTTAATTTTGTGTTTTTATGATTTAATTAATTATTAGCTTTTCATTAAACTCACAAACCCCCAGCAGTTCCTTCACAAACCCTAGTGTGGGAAACCTTGATGTAATGTAATGTTTAATGCACTTCATGTTGTTAATAACAACGAATGGAAAATATTTCCTTTTTCTTTGTATTTTTATATCAACATTGTACAAGATTATCCTGTTTAAATCAATGTGATAAGCGAGTTATCTGATTATATTATTATGAAAAGTAAACAAATTATCTGATTATATAAAAAGTAGGCTACAATTAACTACTAACTACAATTTTTGTCAAGTAATTTGGAATCAGTAACAGACTACACTTTATAAGTAATCTACGCAGCTTTGATTATATTATCTTTCTTAGTAAGTTTTTCATGTGTCATATATACACACGTTTCATCTTCTTTTCCTAGGAGTGTTTTAAGATGCCTCAGTCGTGTGGTGTTTTGGGAGGAAAGCCCAACCTCGCCTATTATTTCATTGGATTTATCGGTGAGTTTTGTTGGCGCTTACAGAGTTTGGGGTAGTAAAATGACATACTAAATACATATGCATGATCCAACGTGTTTCCCATTGAAAATGAATTGATCGAAGGAATCGGCGCAATGCTTTATCCTGGAAAATGAGGCATTCTCATTTTTTCTTTTTCAGATGATGAGTTGATCTATCTGGACCCTCACACCACGCAGCAGGCCGTGGACACTGATTCAGGCAGTGCTGTGGACGACCAGAGCTATCACTGTCAGAGGACCCCACACCGCATGAAAATCACTAGCCTGGACCCGTCTGTCGCGCTGGTGAGAGCTCAAACCACGTCACTGCCAAACGAGAAGTGAATTCGTCTGAGACGCAGCTCTCTGTGAACACAAGCATCCGACGTGTGCATGCGAACACAGGAAGCTGGATCAGACAGTAGCGCTTCAATGCACAAAAACACACAATTATGCAAATGCACGTTTTTGGCCAGTGATCTCGTAAACACAATTTTAAATGAGATTAAAAATCCTAAATGACTGTAAAGAGTTGGGAGAAAATCAAATGTGTCAGATCCGCATCACGTGCGTCAGGTTTTAAAGAGACAGCGCTGCTTTTAAAGTGAAACCTGCTGCAGTCTGTCATTGATGGAAATCTAAGAACAAAAAAAGAGAAATCACTCGCTGCTCAACACTCGCTGATTAACTTTTATAACTTGAATAAAATGAATCTATTTTCATGCATGTAGTTTATGTGAAGATTCACTTAAACTAAAAGTTGTTATATATTTTTTAAACCTGTTAAATGTTTAAAAAACAATGGTTTTAAATTATGTTGTAACGTTGAATGGCTATAATTGATGGCTTAAATTGAGGGAAAAATGCATTTAAGGCTGCATTTTCATACACTGGCACAAAAATTCGGATTTTTTGCCCACATCTGACACGATTGGATTTTGTTGCACATGTGTAAACACAAAAATCCACATGATTTTTCACATCAGATCTGGGCCACTTTCAAATGTGGATTTTAATCGGATACATATCCGATACCTGGACATCCGACCTACGTCTAAACACACATATCCAATTCCCCGCAGAACTCCCAATGTTTTTTGATTTATGTTCACTAAAGAATTCTACCTCTAACGAGCTGTAAATAAAATAACAAATAAAAATGATCCGTTCAGTCAGATTTTGTGCTGTAAAACATCCATGACCGCTGTTGTCCATGCTAGCATATAATAATGGCCACTCGACGTGAATTATATGAATCATTTTAATAGCACGGCCATTCAAAACCCGAGGGTCAACTATGTGCATAGTAAAGCGACAATAATTCTGGGCGGGAATTACACCGATATCGGACACCAGTCATGTCTAAAGTGAACAGGCGGGCCAAAAAATTCAGATCTGTGCATTAAGACTTGCAGTGTAAATGCAGCCTAGTAGCATTATTGGTGTTCATTAATAATAGACTACTTAGTAAAAAAGATGCCATTAAACACATTTTTAAAATGTACCATCTTTATGTTGTTTCTACGTTCATTTGGAGATTCAATGTGAAATTATTACAATATAAAGCAATCAGCCCCGTGGAGTCGTAGTTTACAGTGAATTTATAACAGCTAAGTGGCATTAAAACCCCCTTAACTGTTATAAATTCACTGTAAACCACGGCTTCACGGGGCTTATTGCTTTTATAAAACGGTTATTCCATATGCATAGTAAGGTTTCACAAAATAAAACAGAGCAAATAAAGTGTAATGGTAATAAAAACAGTATTCTTCCACCAAACAATGTAGCGCCTCAGAAACAGTTGTGTTTGCAACAAAGTGGTTGTCACACAGAAGTAAACAAAGGTGTGTGTTTGTAGAGTAATTTACAACAGCTTCGAACGCAGCTCAGCCAATCAGAATCAAGGACCGGAACTCTCCGTTTTATAATAAATATTTTATATTAATATGCAATTAATCATGATTAATTAGTGAAAAATGTATGATTAATAAGATAATTTATAAAAAAAATAATAAAAAAGTCACCATCGGGGTTTAAATATGCAAGAACATTTGCTTAAGAATTTGGGATTGAATCTTTATTACAGTTATTAATATCTTTGTGACATGTTTGGAAATAATTCTTTTAACTCTAAGGGGCCGTTCACACAGAATGCATTTTTCCATTCCAATGCACGACGTTTCCATTGTTTTTCTATGTAAGTGCGCTAAACGGACGTGTATGATGGTCTCACGTATTTGCCTGTTTTTAAGACCCCTTGCCAAGTTAAAAGAATTTCAACTTTTACACGCAGCGCCACTCATCAATGTCATTCCAAAACAGCGGACCAATCAGAAGAGCCCGGAGGCGGGGCAAGCGTTGCAAGCTTTTGTTTACAGCTGAAAGTCAGCATGGCAACTGTTTTATTTGACGGCAACAAGGCGGAGAAAGCTTTTTTTTAAAAAGCATTCCTGAGAGCTGCGTCTGGCATTTTTAGACACAAAGACGTATTCTGTGCGAACGGCCCCTAACTGATGCTTTGTCTGAAGACAGACCCATATTCCAGGATGACAAATGATTTAAAAATGTTCATCCATCGAAAATGAAGACCAGCCGCCTCATGAAGGCAGACCATTTCACTTCTCGACTCGAAATGCGAGAATGAGCCAAACGTCTTCCACTGCAGATGTTAGATTCAGGGTTTGATTTCACGGATCAGTAAACGTGAATGTTTGTCCCTAGGGTTTTTTCTGCAAGAGTGAGGAGGACTTTGACAGCTGGTGTGATCTGGTTCAGCAGGTTAGACCGATCAAGAACATGATTTACCAGCTTGCTTTCTTTACAGTTTTAACTTGCTCTCATTAGTTCGCTCTGATTTTAAGGAGCTCCTTAAGAAAAGAAACCTGCGGATGTTCGAGCTGGTCGAGAAACACCCGTCTCATTGGCCTCCGTTCGTTCCTCCCACCAAACCAGAGGTGCAGACCACAGGAGCAGGTACTGAGGAAGAAGCACAGCTGCATTGTGTGATCAAATTTTCAATGAAGCCTGTATTTGTGATCCATTAGCAGGATATTCTTAGTGCATGCATAATACCTTATTAAGTGAAGAAATGAACACATTATATCCAAGTTACAATGGATTATAGTTCCCAATCCCATAGTTATAACGTATACAAGTCTCATGAGAAATATAAGGGTTTTTCTAAGGCATTATATAACAAATACAGGCTTCGTAGCAAGTGATTCAAAAGAAGACTATGCAACATAACCATTTGTTTCATAACCTGAATATCATTCTTACCGCCTGTGCTCATTCTTCTAGAGTTCATCGAGTCCCCAGACAAGCTTTTTGAGTCAGAAGAGGAGTTTGAGATCCTAAATGTGTGATCAGTCCACGGATAAAGCCTTGCTCTGCTCCACACCGCACAAGTGCCTCCGATCAACACCGAGCACACGCTTCCCGTACGCAAAAAACAGCAGCAGAGCAGAAAAGCCTATCAGTGAGGAAAATAAGAAACCAAGGATCCTGTAGCAACTTTGTGTGACGTTTAGCCTCGTTCAGAGGCCGTGTAAGAGACTTGTGTTTTTAACTGTGGAAACAAACAGAGAACTCGTCGTGTTCACATGAACTTTTCCGTACTGTATCATGGAGAGGTGAAGGCTTTGATGAGGATGATATCTTTTACAACCTCAGCACGCTACCTCCTGACTGCAGGAGATGGATCATATGCAGACATCTTTAATTCAGTGTTATTCAAGGAAAAAAAACGACAACTTTATTGGTTAATCAAGTGCCTCTCTTTATGACATATTTATGTTTCTGACAGGTAAAGGTGATGTTTCCTTTCCTTATTACAGTGGGTTAATTATTTCACCCACCCCTGCACATCTGTAAATATGGCTTCAAATGAAGATATTTAAAAATGTTTAGCGCGGTCCTATCACGTTTTTAAAAAAAGAAATCAACTGTAAAGATACTAAATTATGAGATCCTATAATTTATCGGTGAATATTGTCCCTTTCATGTCCACGCTGTCTTTGTATGTTTATAAAAGATGACAAATCTGAACAGGACTCTTCTTTAATGTGTTATATAATATTAATATGTAACTTATTCAAAGAAAAGATTTATTGCATAAATTACAAAAAAAAATTACTAACCCTAGTAAAGGAATATATTTCAAATGCATTTATTTCATACTAAGTATAGTTCAAATCTATTAACATATTTACTGACATATCGCTCGAGACTTACTGATATACAAATTTGGATTACTGCTTGTGCACAATGCACGTTTCTTAATATTAAGCCTAAAATGAAAAAAAAAAATGTATATCACTATTGGTGAGGATTATATAGTCTTTGAATAATATCAGCCTTTAAATGCAATATATTTAAAGTGTACCTGAAGTATCAAAAAATAAAACAAATATTCTTCAGTGTATCTTTAGTTGGACTTCAGCACTACTTCCACACAACTAAAGTGCATTAAGTACAAAATGAGTTGTTCCAGTTTAGCAGACTGGCAAGTATATAGCAGTTTAGTATACTAAAAGTACAATCGCAGGGTATTTTTTATTAAGTACATAAATATGTAAATGTATTTGTAGTATACTTAGCATGAAATAAATGTATTTTTATATTTCATTTTCACTATAGGGAAGTAACTAAAGAAATACATATATATATATATATATATACACTGCCGTTCATAACGTTTTGGGTAAGGTTTTGATTTTTTATGTATTATAAATTGTAAATTTTTTAAACGGATGCCTTAAATTGACAAAAAAAAAAAGATTTCTATTTTAAATAAAACATTTTTTTACTTTATCTTCATCAAAATATCCTAAAAAAATTTAAGTTTCCACAAAAATATTCAGCTTTCAAAAAATAATAATCCGAAATGTTTCTTGAGCAGCAAATCAGCATATTATACTGATTTCTGAAGATTATGTGACACTGAAGACTGGAGGAATGATGCTGAAAATACAGCTGCGCATCACAGAAATACATTACATTTGACAATATATTCAAATATGTATTATAAATTGTAAATTTTTTAAACGGATGCCTTAAATTGACAAAAAAAAAGGATTTCTATTTTAAATAAAACATTTTTTTACTTTATCTTCATCAAAATATCCTAAAAAAATTTAAGTTTCCACAAAAATATTCAGCTTTCAAAAAATAAGAATCCGAAATGTTTCTTGAGCAGCAAATCAGCATATTATACTGATTTCTGAAGATTATGTGACACTGAAGACTGGAGGAATGATGCTGAAAATACAGCTGCGCATCACAGAAATACATTACATTTGACAATATATTCAAATAGAAAACTGTTCTTTTAAATTGTAATAAAATTTCACAATATTACTACTGTACTTTTGATTGAATAAAGCTTTGCTGAGAATAAGAAACATTAAAAAAAACTTACTGAACCCAAACATTTGAACAGTAGTGCATCTTTGTGTTTTAGTTCTTTTTAAATAATAATTTAGGAAATGAAACTCGATTTACTAATGGATTATATATTCATATATTTCCTAATTGTTGCTTAACTGTAAATATTCTCTTTCTGGCCAGCAGAGTGCAGCAGCTATCAACTAAGATACAGGACAAGTAAGTGGAAAAACTGGGGTCTTAACATGTCCACAGCAAAGTTGCATCATACTAGACACAAGAAATCACAAGTGCATGACTCAGTCAGGGATACCTTGGCACTTTTTTATTGCAATAGCTCTATTACAAGCAAACCCAATCTAATAAATATACACGGAAAAAAAAATATATATAAAAATGCAGAAGTGACCAAATAAAAAGGACAAAAAAAAACTAAACTCAAACACCCTCATCCTTGAAACCAAGCGAGGTGCCGTGTAGCGTGTTGACGAGAGAAGGGATATCAAAAATTACAATATTTACAAAAGGAAGACGGCGCTGATAATGGTCTGCTTCAGTCGTTATCATCAACATGTTTCAACCCAATCACAAGCTTTCAGCGTAAGTGAGTACTGACCAGATGAACAGCAAGTTGTTGGCACAGACTTTGCCCATCTCTTTTTTTTTTTGTCCAGCTCTTCCTTTCAGTCACTGTAAAAGGCAAACGACACAATTCCAAACAATATCAGTATCCCCAAAATATAACCTCAGTAAGAGCCCCTAGTATAAAAAAAACAAAACACAAGTTGGATTATTTTCCCAGGCTGTCACGGTAGTTATTGTGTAGAAAAATCCCCAAGAAACGGTATACTACTGTTTTTTTCATTTCACATTTTACATTAAAGCAAAGCAATATCATGACACAATAGCATGACAAAAGCTAGTCAAAGAAAGATGGGAAAAAGTCACCGACGTATGGTTTCGTCCCAACATAATCTGGACTACTACTGTAAAGCGTACACATCTTACTACACAGCTTTCAACCACAACTTCAACCCAAAATCTCTTCATATAAAGCTTCCAGGTACAAGCAAAAAAAAAAAAAGACCCTAGTAACTCTTAGTTAAAAAAGGCTCGAGAGAGATGAGGGGAAACAGGTTGTCTGACGTTGTATATACATTGAACTCCCCCTCTCAGCAAGCACTATATTCGTACGAATGCGCTCACCGGCAAACGGTAAACGCCACTACACTGGATTCAATAAATAAACACAGACGTTTAATAAATAATCAATAAATTAACAAAAAACGACACGACGTGGGGAATGCAAAGTAGCACGACGTTATCCTTCAGTACTGTGGCAGTTCGTAAGACTAGTAGTGAAATGCAAAATACGTAACCGCAAGAAGTAGTAAACATCGTCGTTTTGTGAGCGGTGGCTACATCGAGGCTCAAAAACACTCCCAATTGATGTAAACAAGAATATTCCACACGGGGACAGAAAAAGCCGCGGCGTTTTGCATCTCAGAGTCGGCAATACTTGATATCGCACTAATACAGGTGAGGCCTAAAGGATTTTGTGAGCGTTTTCCCAACGGCGTGAACGGGAGGTAGCATCCGTTCCGAAACACTGTCTCGGCTAAAAAGTGCTCTCGTACTCGTTTCGAAGCGTGTCGTGCTTTTAAATTCGCCCGATGTTGCCTCATTTCTCAGACGCTCTCTCGTAGGGGACGTTTTCATGCACCCAAAACACCGAGCGAGATGATTTCATAACTGTACACAACGAAAACAACAACAGCAACAACGCGGTCTTCGCAGAAGTGGCCTGTGGGACAAGTTCGTTCACTGTTAACCCCTGAAAAAATACTCAATTACTTTATACAAATAAAAAAGGGCGGAACGAAGTACGGCGAGTGTCAGATGATACAAAATGATACTCGATATACAAGCTTCACCTATTTACATCCGATTTTGCGCGGAGAAACATAAACCTGTAACCTAAGAGCTGTGATGCGTTTCATATCGTACACACAAAAATAGAAGTGCTAGATATCTGAAGCTCACAGTTCTAATTTAGCGAACCCGCTCTAGTAAACAAGACCGAAGACAAGAAAGAAAGAAAAAAACAAAACTAATATTATCATTCGGACAAAAGAAACCGGTTGTTGAGGCAGTTATGTGGGAAATACAGAGCATAAGAGGTTGTGTAGTTTCTCAGTCTTTGTTGTTGGAGGTCTGAGGAAGAGGAGGAGGCGGCTTGCTCTTCGGCGTTCCAGAGTTCAGTGGATTCTCCGTGTCCTGATTCCCCTTCGGGCACCAGCGTTTGACTCACTCAATCTGCAAGGGTGAGGAGACAGATCGCACGTTATGAAATGCTTTAATGTGGTTGATGTTTGCATTCCTAGAGCTCGGACAGTAGAGGTCGTGGGCTTGATTTCCAGCCAATGCATGCTCAAATGTACAATAAAAGTCACTTTGGACATCAATCAGCTTAATTCTTTATGAAGCAGAGCCCATTTATATATATTGAAACCACACAAATCAGTAGTTTTTTTCAGTTTACTATAGTAGTATTAAATGCTTCTTAAAAGAACAGACTGATAAACACTTTATGGTGTATATATTTGAACCCATTAGGGGTTTAATGATTTTTTTCTCTCTCCAAAATCACGTACTCTTCATTAAAATATTAATAATATGCTTTTTTGCTTCACAAAAAAGCAGGATCCATTTGATTTTAGTGTTCCTAAATTCTTAAATGCAAAAACCTGCTGTTATTTGTTTTTATAGGTTATTTGATTCCAGCAAATATACACCTCTCATCTCTTATGATATATCATCTCTTAATGATGAGCTTGAGAGAAAAATAACCTTTACTTATATTCACTGCAAAAAATGATTTTCTTACTTAGTGTTTTTGACTTGTTTTCCATAACAGATATCTAAACATTCTAAAAATCGAGATATATTTGCTTGAGAAGCAAAATGACTTTTCTGAAAAGAATATTTTAAATTTTTAGTTTTTGCTTAAAACAAGAAGAAAAAAAATGCCAATGGGGCAAGAAAAATAATCCTGCTTTC